ACTCGATCTCAAGCGCTTTTCGACAGCCTGGAGCATGTGTAAAAACAAGAGGAGTTGGCTAAAAAGAGAGTGGAAAAAGACGGAGAGGACCAATATACGCTTTTAGCGCTTGCTAAAAAGCTTAAAATGAAGAGAAAATAAAGTATTCTACCTCGTGAAACTGTATATTGTTGTATATACTGTAAACAGACATCCACTTTATATAATAAAATACATTCATAACCCATATATAGTAAACAGTGTGGGACTTCACTATCACTGTATGAGGTAAGAATCAACAGCTTTTTATATCACATTTACACAACACTTTATGAATACAAGTAATGAACAAATCTTAAATATGGCAGGGAATGTGTTTCCTTTTTTAGTTTTGATTTTGAGCAGCAAATTTGAAGTTATATATTGGTGCTCACCAGGAATGCACAAGCAAAATTGCACAAATTTTCACTTGGAAGAATAGTGGCAATCTTGGGATTTTTTTCTGTTCAAGTTTCAAATAGTGTGTAAATTCAATACACTTCATCTTCAGCATGTTTAGTGTCACTTTGGTAAGTAACCACGCCCCGTCCAGGCCACGCCCCTTTCCGCTTTTTTTCATCACTCGCCATTGCCATCACTGGTGCTTACATCTGAGATCAAATTTGCGACAGTGAAAAACCCCCTGTTGTGAAAATTTTCTTGCTGCAAACATGATTTCGTTGTAGAGGAGTTTCACTGTATTACTATTATTTTATTTTGGGAGGGAGTCATTGATGCTTCAAACATATTTCCTGTGTTTGTCAGTTGTATTAAAAACTACAAATATAATCTGTTGACTTTTAGAAGTTTAGAGCCTTTGTTAGCTGCTTGTGACAACTAGTAAGGACATTTAGTGGGACAGCAGGAAACCGCGTTAAAGGAACCAGGGCAGTTGTTCTGCTGGCCCACCAGTTCGAGGAATTAGGATCACAAGTCGGACAGTTGGGTAACTGGGAGACGCCCCCCTCGAACCGAGCTGCCATGATTGGGACGCCGTCTCCCCCAACATTTGTTCGGGAACCATATTTGCCACAACCATCTCACTATGGTGGAGAGATCGGCCGATGTAGGCAAAATATTCACCAGTACTCTTTGATTTTTGATCAGTAACCGTTAACATATGTTCATGACAATTCCAAATGGCGTTTATCAGGAGCCTTTTGACTGGTGAAGCTGCTTCTTGGGCGCTAGCAGTAAGCAATGTTAAACCTGAGCTCTGGTCTTCCTACCTCGACTTCATCACCGAGTTACGTCGGGTATTTCACCATCCGGTCCAGAGAAAGGAGGCCTGAGGTCGGTTATTGGAGTGTGTTCAGGGTAAGCAATCGATTGCTACTTACGCCATATCCTTCAGCATTTTTTTGCTGCAGAGAGCATATTTATGTAATATTTTTTGGCGTGGACTTAGCTCCGTGTTGAAAGACGAATTGGTTGTACGGGAGGAACCAATGAATTTAGAGGAACTCATTGCCATGACAATCACATAAGGGGGAGACGCTGAGAGCGTGGTTTTGAACTGTCCAGGACCTTCCAGTCCAACTGAAATGTACCGCTACCACTCGCTTCGATGACCAGCCACGACCAGAAACCAGAGACTCTTGAGCCACCTCCTGAGGAACCTATGCAGCTAGGTGGTAGCCGACTTCATCTTGAGAAGAGGCAATCCTGGACCGGATCCGGCTTCTGCTGCGGCTTGCAGGGTCATCATGTCGTACGAGACCATCTGGATCTGACAGTAAGTCGACTTTCCTGGGGCTTCACGAGTCGGCCAACCCTGGATCAACTCTTAGACTTAATTTGACTCATGAGTCTGGTACACTGTCTTCTGTTCTTGGTTCCTCCAACTCGTGCAACGTCAAACGACTTGCGCTAGCTGGAGAAGTGTCAGTGTACAGAAGGAAATTAAGGATTAAGGCTCTGGTTGATACTGGGGTTGATGAATGTTTCATCGATCCCGATGTTGTCGAAACGTTAGGTTGTTCCACGAAGGAACTATCCCAAATCAATAGTCATTGATCTTGATGGACATCTCTTGGCAGTGGTTAAATTGTTTATGTCTCAGCTTCAATTATGTCTCTCCTGGAATCACGTTGAATCGCGGAGGTTTTTCGTTCTGCCATCTCGCGCTGCTCCGATTATTTTAGGATTACCATGGCTTAAATGCATAACCCCGATATTAATTGGAACCTTCCCTCCATCGTGAATTGGAGTTTGTTTTGCCACGCCCACTGTTTAAGATCAGCCAAGCATGAAAATAATCAATCCGCTGTCATTCCCTCTGAAAAAATCTGTTTCGATCAAGTATCTGCTGAATACCACAATTTAGGAAAGGATTTTACTAAATAGCTTGGCGTCCTTACCTGCCAGCCGCATTGTTCCTATGATTGTGCAATTGAACTCCTTCCTCATGCTCATCTTTACCAGGTGTCGCAACCTAAACAAGAGGCGTTAAAGAAATACATTTCAACCGCCTTAGTGGTGGGACTCATTTGGCCATCCTTTTCCTCTGTGGGAGCTGGAGGGTTTTTCATTGAAAAGAAAGACATTAAGGCCATATGTTCATTTTCGGGGACTAAGCGAAATCACTATGAAAAATGTCTTCTTCCTCTGTTGGATTCGGCATTCGCAGCCTTACAGACAGCAACTCTTTTCTAAACTTGACCTACGCAATGCGTATCATTTAGTCAGCATTTGG